CTGCCACAGTGAGAAGCAAGATCTGAGATGGTGACTGAGTCCCTGAGTGAGGCAGATGCAGAGCAAAGCCCCATCCACTCACTGTGGACATGTGGTGTGAATGAGAAATAAATCTTTATTGTTTAAAGCCCCAAGATTTGGGGTTGTTTGTTCTTGCAGCATGACCTAGCCTATCCTGCTGACACAAAGGACAGTATCACTGTCAATCTTGCTGCCACTTCCTCTTTTTCTCTGTGAACCCTCATCCTAGCCAGGCCCCTGATCCAGTTCCTTCTGTGAGATATAGCTGTAGGACCCAATTCAAAAATGAAAAATGTGTTGATACATAGTCACATATTTTCTGTCATTCAAACAGAAAAGATCACTGAAAGAATATGTTCTCTCACACCCTAGCACCTCAACTATCATGACAAATAAGCTATTTTTGTTTGAGAACAAATAAGTGTAATTAGCACGCTCAGGAAAAACTGCCAGTAAAAACGCAACCTCACCTGATTGGGACATGTCTTGAAGCAGTTTACCTGTCATCTCTTTCTGAAAGTCTCAATTACCATGCAATCTGCACAGAATCCTCTTTTCTTTCCCTGCACCTGCAATCTGACCACTGTGTAGGCATCTTTATGATTCCTGTTTTTCCAGACTTTCATGTCGATGATATCTTTCTCTTAGGGGCTTTCTTTTCTGCCACTCCCTCCATAAGGCCAGTGAGCATTTCTCCTTCCTGAGGATTTTGAAATTCTGTACCTTCTCTGATGCCTTTCCAAATTGCAGCCACCTCCATACCTGTTCAGATGCTCCCCGTCTGCTCCCCTTCCTCTGGGAACCATGTCACCCCTTTTACTTCATAGACCTTACTTTGCTACCTTCTGCCCTGGGCTTTCTTCTCTTTCTACTCTCCCTTATCTTAAAGCTTCAGAGTGGCACTTCTCTACTGAGACTATCTACAAGCCATTCTCTGGCGCTATTATCCTTGCTACACAACAGCCTGATGGGTGAACATGCTGGGCTTTGTTGGGCTGTGACACAGTGATCACAAACGATGATCTGGACCCATCCCAAAGATGACATAAATCATGTGTGACTGCAGATAGAGACCTACATGTGGTACACAGACAGAGACTACCCTTAAGCAAAGACTGAAAACAGTTCCTGCTATGAGAAGAAATTACAAGTGCACGCCACTGGGCTAGTATAAAGATGAGGGACATGAGGCCCAGAGAGAATCTGGCAATTATAGTAATGGTAATAGCCAACAGTTAATGAGCACTTATTTTGTGCCAAGCACCGTGTAGACTTCCTATGGATTATCTCCTGCAGTCGACACATTCCCTGTCAGGCAACACGAGTCTCATGCCCATCTGTCTGATGAGACAGAAGCTCGGGGAGTTGAAGTAGCTCACCTAAGGTAAGCAGCAAAGAAGCAGAGAGCTAGGGTAAGAATCCTGGACACAACAGCCACTGCAGAGCCCAACCTCCTACCCAGGAAAGAATAGTGCCTCAAGGCATGGGGAGGGAGGGGCCCCACAGGCCAGATGGCTATCCCCTGTTTCCAGTGTTTATAGTGATTCCCTTGGCTGCAGGCCCTAGGCCTGCGGCTCTGACCCCTCCACTTTTCTCCTGGAGCTCTTCTTTACAATGCAAACTGAAGACTCGCCTGTTTGAACTCTCTCTCCCTGCTGGTTCTAGGAGCCTGAAGCCTCAGGGTCCAGGCCTCAGTTCCACGGCTGGCTTGCATCCACCCGAGGTAGTTTGAGGTGAGTTTGAGTTTACAGGCCAGCATCCTGCAGGGTTGGACTGCCTTGCCTTTCAGAGTAGAGGAGAATTGAATTATTCTTGCATCAACTCCCCCGACACCCTGAAAACTATGGCCTCCCGCCCTCCTTCCTCTGTGGCTTTTCTCTGCCTATAAAATGAAAAACAGATTGCCTCGCTGGCAGCTTGAAGCAAGCCCTGCCTCTGAGGTGTGTGAGGGGAAGCGCAGTGTGCACAGGGTATCATGGCCATCTGCTTCTCATTGCATTGGGCCGCGGACAGACAATGGGCCAGTGTGCAGCCTGCACCCACGGCAGTCACATTGGTGACCCTGGGCCTGCTGCCTGGCAGACTGGGGAGTAGCTCAGAGTCTGGGAGTTTGTTTGCTAGAGTGTGGGGGTGGTTCCCCCTCATTTGGCTATTTCTCCTTTCTTTTCTTCCTAGAAAGATGGGTTTCATCTGTTTCTCCAAGCCTCCTGGTGACCTCTTTGTAAAGCAACATTTTTATGTGTGTGTTTTAACATAGATGTAATTTACATTCTATGCAAAAAACCTAGACTAGTAAAAAGAAGCAAAAACTAGTGATGACCACCCCAGTGCCAAGGGTTTTAGTGTGTGTTCTGCTGCTCTTTTTTCCATGAATATTTTCAGCATTATTTCTAAAAACAATGACCTAATGTGCAGTTCTGAGTTAGGCAGTGTACTGAATACTTTGCCTGGATGATCTCAGGCTGCATATAGTACAACCCTATAAGGTAAGTACTTTTATTAACACCATTTTTACAAATAAAGACCTTGCAATTTAGAAAAGGCAAGAAATCTGCCCAGAATTACCCAGGGAGGTGGATGAGACCAGGATTCAGTTTCAGGCTTGTACTCCAGAATCCACAGTTCAAAACTACCTCCCAAAACACATCTCTGTGGAGTGCAAGCTAGATTTTTCCCCGTTTTTCATCAAACAATAGAGTAGGACTACTTTCTCATTCGGTCTCTAATCCTCTACACACGATGTTTACAGCTGCATATATTGCATTGTGTAGACTTATCTTAACCTACTTACCAGTCCCCTGATTTTGGGTTGTTCCAGATATTGCCATTATAACCCTGACCTGAGCACTCACTACAGATGTCTTTAAACCCAACTCCCATGACTCCATAGTAGTAGAATTTTGATGTAGACAGGCATTCATAAAAGAGTTTTGAAAGATGTGGGAAATTGTCTTTAAGAAAAGTTATGCTTGTAACACAGGGTGTTGTATCTCAAATTGGCAAGGATGTTTTTAAACTTTCAACTCATTTTTTTAGTGATCAATTAACTATCATTCATTTATTCATTGTCAATTTTAATTTATTCTTTTGTATATCTATTGCTCATTCTCTTTACCCAGTTGTCTAGTGTGTGATTTATTTTTAAATTGATTTGCAAAAGCTTATTATATTAAGCTTATTATATTGATCCTTTGATGCCAGTATTATAAATACGTATCTCAGTCATTTGTCTTTTTGTCTTATGTTTTTGTATTTTTGTCAGAAATGTTTAAAAATTTTATGCAGCTGATCTATCATTTGTTTTCTTTGTACTTTCTTCCTTTACTGTTTTATTTTTCAGACTTCTTTCTAGCTCTCCAACAATATTATATAACCGTTAGCATTACGTGTAGAACTTTTCATGATATGAACTGAAAAACCAAGATGGTGAAATAGATATCTCAGTGGTTGAAGAGAATGAAATGAAGAAACCATATCAGCTGATTGCCCAGGAAAACAAAACTGAGAAACCCATCAACAGTGAAACCAAGATGTAGACTAACATAATTATTTTACTTTATAACACAAGTGTAAGAGAAAGAAATTTATTTATATAATTTTTTGGTCTGATTTTTCAAGCATGTAAGGAAGATCTCCCAATTTCTTATCTAATTAATGGAATTTATAAATGTTTTCTTTAAATATCAGAAAGTATTGCTTTATTTTCCTCATAATTATTATAAAGCTAACATTTTATCACTTTAAACATTTTTAGCATAGAACTGTCTCCAGTCTCTACATTTCCAAAGTTAAGATATAATCTATATTCTGCCACAGAATTCAAAATCCAGGGTACCATCCTGACCTCAGCCTCCAGGCCTCAGTCCAGACCCCTCTCTGCCTTCTCAATTTCTTCTTCAGGGAAAGGAATAGAAATCCTATAAATGAACAAGTTTGGGGTCGATTATGATTTGTGTAACCTTTAGAGATGATGTAACTTACATACATGAGGAAGAATATCTAAAAGCAGGAAGGAGAGGAGCAACATGTGTACATGAGAAATCGCAGTATAACATACCGCCAGTGTTATTCACGTTATATTTCTCTGGCCTTTCCTTCTTTCTTCTGATCTCTTCCAGATACCCCCATTAGCCAAACTCAACCAGAAGCCGGAGGGCAAGAGAGCTGGGCAATGTGGCCTATAGAGGTTAAAGATCCTGGGTCACAGACCAAGGTAGAGAAAACTGGAAAATGATTCTGACGGCAATGCAAACGAAGAATAGCCAGGATAAAAAACAGAAAGAAGTTAAAAATCGCTCAAAACTCCATCATCCAGAGGTAACCTTGATTAACACTTTTAGTAGAGTCTCTTGATGACTTTTTAATATACCTTACTTTTATTATGTTTTAATTAAATTTATTGGGTTAACATTGGCTAATAACATAAATTTCAGGTGTACCACTTTATAATATGACATCTATATACTCTGTTGTATGCTCACCACCTGAAGCCTAGTCTATTTCTGTCACCATATACTTGACCTCCTTTACCCTCTTCGTCCTCCTCGCATCCCCCTTTCCCTTCTGGTAAACCACCATTCCGTTGTCTTATTCTGTTGTCTTAATATGCATTACTTTTGTACAGTTGAGATCATGCTACATAATTGCTTTTTAAAGTATAGTTAACCAAGGAGCACTTAGAGGGCTAAATCAAAAACTATTTTGATACTATTGATAACTAGAAATTGCATTTGAGTGGTTTATTGATTTTCCCATTACAGTCTCTCACACACACACACACACACACACACACACACACACACACACCCTGCCTAAGTCACTCAATGGGAGTAATTTTTTTTCCCAGTGCGAATTTTTTAAATGCAGAAAATTATTACTCAGGCTTCTTGAACTGTAAATGACCTTTTTTTCTTACACTATGCAGCTATTGTTTTGTAGCAAATAAGTGACACATGTATTGCCATGTTCATTTTTTTCCTCAGGCTAAGCATCACTCATTGATCCACTCATTCTTTCCCATGGAGCTCTGAAGTGGCTCAGAATCCTACTCAACACGTCAATACAATGACTTACAAATTGAAATTTATTGCTATCCTTTATGTTTAGCAATCATTAACAATAGAACTACACTGCCTAATAGTTTAAGTGGCCATCGGCTGTGACAAAAGATTCTTCCTAAATCGTGGGGTCAAAGATATAGCACAAGAAATTCATTTCTCGTTCTCAGGAAAACTGTAAAAGCAGAAAAAACAACTGAAGGAAATAATGAAGGGTTAAGCCTAAAGTCACAGAATTCTTCAATAAAGCAATCCATCTGGATTTTGAGTTTGGGATCTATATAAAAGAACTGGATATCCAGAAGTCCTTATTCTCACATTTTTAAAGTCATTAGTGTATGATTTTTATTTCTGAGTCCTTGCATATCTAAGAATGTCTGTCTGTTACCTTTACTCTGAAGGCTACAAAATTAATGGGCCCCAACTTTCTCCTTTCAAAACCCTCTAAAGGCTACTCCATTTAGGGTTACAAAGGAAAAGTCTGAAGCCAACCAATTTTTATATTCTTAGTAAGTAGTTGTTTTTTCTTCCCTGATTCTTATAAAAGTAAATTATTTTTATAATTCAAGTATTTTGTTAGAATGTGCTTTAAGTGAAGACTTTGTGTCAGGGGTCCTCAAGGCCATTGCTATTTTTGGAAATTCACCAAAATGACTCACAAAACTCCGCATTAAGTGTACTCATGGTTAAGATTTATTACAGCAATGTAGTGAGGACATACAACTGCCTTAGAAGGGAAAAAGGCACAGGCAGAGTCTGGAGGAATATGAGCACAGGCTTCTCTATGCCCTCTTCCTCCTTAGGAGCCACACAGCTCACTCTTTGCCCAGCAAGGAAAATGGGACAGCTCAGTAGAGTAATATGTTTTGAATCAGAATCCATCTATTTTAAAGATCTTTATTAACCTTTTACATAAGCATTACAGCAGCCATTGATGACTCTTGCTTTGGATCATCTGTTATTTTATTAAACATTCTTTCTGCTTTTATTAGCTGAAATTCTTCCATAAAGAAGTATTTCTTCAACTATTTGATTGCCTTGAAATACAGTTTTTACAGGCCAGAAAAGAAAAGTACTTGATTCCTTCCCTTCAGAAATTTAGAATAGTGATTGGTGCCCTGGCAATCTCCATTTTGCAAATGAAGCCATTATAAATTTATATCATTTGGCCATCAAAATAAATACTATTTAGTGCATGTAAATAACACGTGAAATATATATGAATAAATATACTTTGTTAATATATATATTTATTTTAATGCTCAAATTGTGTTATCTTTAGCCAGAGGATTGATTCTTTGGCTAATTTTGTAAATTTCTTACTCCAAACATGGAAATAGTCATTTCTCTAAAAACCCCAGCTTCTTTTAGCGGGAAATCATACTCCAAACATGGAAATAGTCATTTCTCTAAAAAACCCCTGCTTCCTTTATCGGGAAATGATAACTCATTATTACTGGGTTATCATGGCTTTTAGAGCTTTTATCTAGACAGAGCTAGGAAAATGCATTGTTTAGAAAGAAAAAAGTGTATGTCTTTATACTGACAGATCTAATTCAAAGTGAAGAGTGTAGGGTTGTTACCTA